ACTCCCCTGTTCTGTTATGGTTCAAAGAGACCCAGTTGAGTGTTAGAAAGGTTTTAGAGGATCCGGGGGAGTGACCCAAACGGATTGGAATAAACCATAGTCCTGGAGTTCATAGGACTCGGCGAGTGCATGAGCCGACTCGGCGAGTCCAAGGCAATCTTCAAAGAACTCGACGAGTTGTTCATACAACTCGGCGAGTCGGGACTGGACCTTCTTAGGATGACGACGAGCTTGACGAGTTGTTCAACAACCCAATGAGTCGCTGCCTAGCAGTTCATCTGATGAAGGCGAACTCGACGAGTCGTTCATACGGCTCGGCGAGCCGGTTGAAGGACCATTTAGTGTTCATGTAGAAGGAGAACTCGTCGAGTCATTGCTAAACTCGACGAGTAGGGACGCAGATTAGGATAAAGGAAAGGATAGGGACTCGACGAGTTGGCGGCCCAACTCGGCGAGTCAGGACAGCTGGAAAAGGACTTTGACCTTGACTTTGTCCAAGGGTAAAATAGTCATTTTGCCCAAAGATTAGTTAGTGGTGTCTGATTGAGTGTTTTATGGAAATGTAGCCGGGGAGTTACCGGAATAGCCAGACAGTTGCCGAGCAGCTTTCCAGCAGTCAGTCTTACGAGGTGAGTTTCCTTCCAGTATGAACGGGTCTAAGGCACCAAGGCCGGCCCGTATAGATGATACGTTAGTATTGGAGTGTGGGCAGAGCCCGTATCTCATAGTTGAGTTTGATTATGATATATGCTTGTATGATAGAATTGTTTATACTCGTTGTCTGTGTGATACTTGTATTTTATGGTTTAGTAGCTGAGTGTGGGCGAGGCCCGTATCTCAGAGATAGTGGAGTGTGGGTGAGGCCCGTATCTCCCAGCTAGCGGAGTGTGGGCGAGGACCGTATCTCCTAGCTGTTCATTATATATGTATGGTATGTGGTATTATGGGGGAACTCACTAAGCTTCGTGCTTACAGTTTTCAGTATTGTTTCAGGTACCTCTTCAGCGAAGGGGAAGGAGCCGGCGCGGTAGCTGCACATCATACACACGCCTCAGTTCCGCATTAGGAGATTTTCCTTGGGATTGCACTCTGACATTATTACGGTTTTATGAGTTTGGTTTTCAGTTATGACACAATGTTTTATGAGACGTTATGAATTAACAATATTTTCTTACAAAGGTTTCTGTTAAAACTATTATCTAAAAGAAATTTTCAGACGTGAAATTTGGGACGTTACAAGTTTGCTTTTCCTTCCTGCTTTGACTTAGAAGGCTTTTCATAGCGAACATAATCAGGATTTTGAGATAGCCAGAACTGTTTCCTTTCAGTGAGATTCTTTTTGTATCTCAAATTTCATTGATGCTTTCTTTCTAACACCTGTTTTGGATTTTTGTGGATGTTGGCCTTTTTCTTTGGTCTTTGAGCATGAGTTTCGCTCTTTAGCGAAGAGTTTTCGCTTGATACCATGACCGGTTCACCTGAAGGACTTTTGGTGCCACTTGTGCTGGGCACATCGAAGTGTGTAGGATCGTTAATTGGTTCTGCCACATACCTTCCTTTTACCCTCCATGATGTTTTCGTAGATAGACCTTATGTTTCATCAGCGTTGTCAATCGATGCTGACCAGAAATACTCATCACAACCATCAGCATTATCTTCTGCTACTAATGCTATCAGTTCGGCTGTCTGTTGCTGAGTAACTCCATGAACTGTATAAACTTGATTTGGAGTCGCTTGGACCTTTTGATATACAACAACCTCTTTCTTAAGGACTTTGGTTTTGTCTTTGGACAAACGAGCGAACTCAACAGAATTTTCAGAAATAAGATTTTTGTTGGTTTCGGGTTCGATCTTGACAATTTTGGAACAGTCCACCTCATCTTCTACATATATTACACTCATGTCATCATCCTCATTGAATTCAGAAGTGTTTTCAATATCAATTTTATTTTTTGAACTCAACTTGGCATTCAAAGAGTCAAATTTTTGTACAGTTTCAGTTTTGATCTTTAACTTGTCATTTTCATCCAACAAATTTTTGAGCATGTACTTATGGTCTTTTGACTTAATGAAGGACTCTATTTTGTCAAGACCAATTCTGTAAGCAGGAGAAATATCATCAGAAGAAACAACGTTTTCACAGTTATATGCATCGACATCGATTTCATCCTCCTTTAACTCAAGGAAGGGTAAAATCATACGATGTTTCTTCTTCCCTATTTCACAATCAGGATGCAATTGAGTAATGTTGGAATATAATCGTTTAGCAATTAAACAAAAAAACATTTCGTTGTTTTAAAAGCTTTAAATTGTCTCTTTGCAAATAAATTGTTTCATCCCTAGACCTAATCAACTCTTTCTCCTTCTGCTCAATCCACATACGCCTCTCCTCACTCTTCGATGATACCCTGCTGATTTGATCAGTTAGGTTAGAGTTTGTGACGCGAGTTTGAGTTAAACTACCACTTATACTAGAAAATTTAGATTTTAATCCATTTAGTTCTTTTTCATAGTTTGTGATGGGAATTTGTAAGGAAACAAGAATAGATTGTACCTTCTTGATCAACTCATCGCATTCGTTGATATGCTCACTGACAGGTTTCGCTGCAAAACACCTGTCTTCTCGCTCCTTTGCTTCATCCAGTCCCCCATCAGTGGTATAGCCTCTCATTTGTGACACACCAGAAGTCACCATTAGACACTTTCCTGCAACGTCCTCTTCTTTCACCAACAAAGCCCTGCCATGAGTAAGCTTCCTCACTTCTTCATCTTCTGAATCAGTGGACCAAACTTCAACACCTCCGAACTCATCATCAACAATATTTCCCTGTACAATAAAAGCATTCATAGTGTTATTAGATCCATCTTTCTTCTTCTTGATTTCTTCCAATCGTCGCGTGAGGTTCGTTTCCTCGTCCTCATCTTCATTCTTTTCTGACATCTTTCTCAGCATACAATCTTTGGCAAAGTGATTTTTGCCTCCGCAGTAGTGATAATTAATGCCCGAGTCACCTCCAAGTTTTACTACCTTCTTTGGTTCTTCGGTCTGAGAAACACTCTTCGGTTCCTCCTTCGCTTTCTCAGCACTGTAGCTACCTTGCCAGTTTCAGTTCTTATTTGTTGGGAACCTTCTTTTGATGAACTTCTTGGGATTTGACACCATCAAAGCATACTCTTCACTTGTTAGATCATATTCAGAAAGATCCAAATCTTCCTCTTCTTCAGCAACCTTCTTTCCTTTGGAGATTAGGGCCAAGGAACCCATGCCAGAAACCACATTCGTTTCTTTAGTCACGACACTCTCATGTGACTTTAATATTCCCACCAGTTTTGCTAGAGAATAAGACTTGAATTGTTCATGTGCCTTCACAGTAGACACCACAACCATCCATTCGGGTCTAAGGCCATTCATGAATGTCACCTTCTGTTCAATGACTTTCCTTTCAATCCCATGCTTTATCATCTTACTAAGGAGATGATTGAAGCGATCGAAGGCTTGAATAAGCTTCTCTTCTGTCTTCTGCTTGAAGTCACCAAATTCTGAGAGCAACAATGTTTGGATTGAATGCTCAAGATCTTCATCCGTAGAATACAATTCCTTCAATCTGTCCCATATTTCTTTCGCCGTTGTGCACGAGCTTACTAACCGAAACGTGTCGGATTGTAAAGCAAACCTAATCATTCTTAAAGCTTTGATGTTGCACTGAAACTTTTCCTTCTCATCTTGTGGAATGTCTTTCACATCACTGACGAGTTGATTGTACTCCTTTTGAGTTTTAACAATTCGTGAAGATTTTGAGTGAGCGAATGGACCTACAGTAATCGCCTCCCAGATCAAGTATCCATTGTCTTCTGAGCCAATCACGTAGTCCTTAAAGTGATGTGTCCAGACCTCATAATCCTGAGTGTACAGTATAGGAATCCTTGTCGTCGATCCTATGCTGTTGGAGATATTGATTGGGTTTGACTGAGAATCATCCATGGACATGACGATGTTTGTTCAAAAACCTGCTTAAGATCAGACTTGTAAATAACGTTAGGGTAAGATCGAATATTTAAAGAGCTACGTCAATAGTAAATGACGGCTCTAACAATATCAATCAAAGCGTAAAACCCTAAGATCTTCTTTAACAGAAGAGATGTGTATGAATTACATAGTCTCCCGCTCTGATACCAATTGACGAGTTCAAAAACTCTTAGATCGATTAGATCTTCAACAGGTCAAACAATAAAAGCAATCAAACACAATAAACACGATATAGAATCAAGTAATGCTTAATGATTCAAATGTAGTCACGCCTCAGCAGAGCTCAACAAAGAACTTCCACTGTAGAGGCGAGCTAGGGTTTGTAGTAAAATAATCAGAATAATAATTAAAGTGCTTACAATAAAGGATGCATGCATGCACCTTAAATACTAAACCCTAATAAAATAATCACGGTTGGACAAGCTCAAACCAGATAACAAAACTGGGCTAAGGACCGAGCCCAAGGACGCAATACTACTATACCCAACAGATAGGTTGTGTCTTGTGGGGATATGAAGTTTGAACCAAGGAAAATGGATGAGTCGTACATTGTTGATGCCACAAAAAAGGAATGCAGTTGCAGGTTATAGAAATTAAATGGCTATGGTTGTGTTCATTCAGTAGCTACATTAGGGTATTTAAACATCACACCTGATGGACCATATGTAGACCTATTGTACCTGGGAACCTTCTTCTATAATACCTACAGACAGTCCATTAATGGCATGAATGGAATAAACATGTGGCCTTCTACAGACTATATACCTCCATTGCCTCCATTGAAAAGAACAATGTCAGACAGGCCAACCATGAAAAGAATAAGGGATGCTTCTGAAAGGTCTGGAAAACACATGGTTTCAAAGGCAAGGAAAAGGTTTCTTGTGGCATATGCAAATAGAAACGACACAACAAGACCACTTTCATTCAAGTTCCAAGGACTCCTAAAACTAATGTCACAAAGAAACAAAAGATTATGCAAACACAAGAGTCAGTGAATATCCAAGGGGGTGGAGAAGATGCTGTTATGGGTGATATAGTTGAGCCACAGGCTGAGGAAGTTGTGAGGGTAAACGAATCTGAGGAAGTGGTGAGGGTTAATGAAGTTGAGGAACTGGGTAGGGTTAATCAAGTTGTTGAGTATATGTATACTACAGGTCAACCAAGCAAGAGGAAAAAGTCTGAGAGAATTCTTAAACTAAAGCTTGCTAAAAGGGTTAACAGTGAAGGTAGTACTGTTGGATCGCCAATGGAGTTGAATTAATTACAATTTTAATTGTATGTCTGTTATGTGGATTTAACAAGGGAATTTATGTTTGTTATGTTCATATATGTTATACTAATCTTAACATTTGATATTTGGATTCGTGTACGTAATTACATTATGTATGATCTTTTTTATATTAGTGTGTACGGGCTACTTTAGTCAGTATAAATATTTAAATAGGTAGGGGTAGTTTAGTCATTTGAGATACTTAGGGGAGTAATGTTATTTTAGGGGTAATTTAGTCATTCGAAGCAGTTAATCCAATAGGTGTATGTTATTTCAAATAATTAATAAAGTAAGGGTATTTTAGTCAGTCAAAGAAGTTGTCGTTAGGGGTATTATTGTCATTTCAATTAATTAAACAAATAGGGTATTTTAGTATTTTAAAGCGGGTAACCCATTAGGGGTATTTTAGTCATTTGTGCTAGGTAATCCTAAAGGGGTGTTGTGAGCATTTCAGTCGTTATTTTTTATGTGACTTAACCAATTAGGGGTATTTCAGGTTTTCCAGGCAATTATCCAAGTGGGCAAGCACAAAAACAACCAAAAAAAACTTTTCCATTGTTTTCTATTTCTGGGTTATAGACAATGAGTATCCAGTAGTCCTAAGAAGATGCCTCGTGTATTAGATTCTTCTATTTTGTCCCATGCCCCCAACAGAAACATTGGGGTTCATGTTTTGTTTGTTTAAAAAGTTTGACTTTGTCATGTGGTCCCAGGAAGAACATCAACAAATCTAGGTATTACTTAATCACACATGCACATTCAGAGCTATAACAATAGTATTTTAACTTAACCAATATTTCATTTATGGGTTTGTGTTACATCTTTACATCTATTACACAAGTTACAACAAGATTTGTACCTGCATCTTACTACATACGACTACCATCACCTGTAATTACCATCAAAAAACTGATCATCACAACAACATGATCACAAAAACACCAACCATGACCACCAACTACTACCACCAGAAACAAAAAAAAAGGAACAAAATGCCTTATTAATAAGGACAAGAAACTAGATGCACATCATAACAAAATACAAACCCACGACATAAATGTTGTAACCTAAAGTTCTTTAGTCATTTTAAGAACTTGTAGGTTAACACCCCCACAACAACAACAACAAAAACCCACCAACAACCTATTTGACTTTGTTGCACTTGTTTTTACCGAAGACGATGTTGACATATGATGCTTGTAGTGAACACAAATGCTTCTTCAAATCAGCAACCATGTTAGATAGATCGAGCTGGCCTGCCCTAACATCATCGACTTCACAGTTTAGGACGTCCAAGTCTCTAGTGACGTTGTGTCGTAGTTCACGAAGGTCGTTTGCAATCTCTTTCCTCACAAGCGACACCTCCAACTGTGTCTGGACCAGATTGATCGCCATGTCTTCATTGGTGACTCCGTTGGAGACATTCTCAGCCATATGCCGACTATAGTTGGGTGACCAATTGTAATTTGGAGATGATCATGAAGGCATGGTTTTGGTGATTACGATTGAAGTTAAGGGTGCAGTTAGGGTAACCAAGTTTCGAATTATGCAATTTTAGGGCACAATCTTCTACTTTTATACGGAGGCAGGGGAATAGTGCGAACATGCCCTCCACGTTTCACATTCCAAAACGACATTGTTTTGGTCACTGAACGTAATTACGGTTTTTCCATGTCATCGATGATGTGTCAAATGGGGATGATGTGGTAGGGTTACCGGGTATAATAAGTAATACGGACTAAATTGCTCGGTTTCAACACACTTCGTTCGTCATAAAGTCACTTAAAAAATTAAGTGATTAAAAGGGTAAACCCTAAAAAGTTCATTGGACATATGTGTCATTTTCCCAATAAAACATTGATACAAAAGGCATAATTTTGTTGCAAACAATACCTTAGACCATATAAATTATCAAACAATTCGACATGTACCGGAATTCAAACATCAAAAACAATACCTTATATAAATCATTAAAACTAGTTTTGTAACCCCAAAACCCCAATATAGCAAACAAATCAACCTATAGCATAATTCAAATATGAAATACGAACACTACTCATTATTACACCTTAGATGATAGATTTCGAAATTTCACATCAGCTTTGCTTCCCAAAGAGCAATATCTTCCCGGTCACAAAACTCAGGAATGCATCGAGGGACGCATACTGTACCTGGAATGGGGATGATGTGGTAGGGTTACCGGGTATAATAAGTAATACGGACAAAATTGCTCGGTTTCAACACACTTCGTTCGTCATAAAATCACTTAAAAAATTAAGTGATTAAAAGGGTAAACCCTAAAAAGTTCATTGGACATATGTGTCATTTTCCCAATAAAACATTGATACAAAAGGCATAATTTTGTTGCAAACAATACCTTAGACCATATAAATCATCAAACAATTCGACATAAACAATTCGACATGTACCGGAATTCAAACATCAAAAACAATACCTTATATAAATCATTAAAACTAGTTTTGTAACCCCAAAACCCCAATATAGCAAACAAATCAACCTATAGCATAATTCAAATATGAAATACGAACACTATTCATTATTACACCTTAGATGATAGATTTCGAAATTTCACATCAGCTTTGCTTCCCAAAGAGCAATATCTTCCCGGTCACAAAACTCAGGAATGCATCGAGGGACGCATACTGTACCTGGAATGGGGATGATGTGGTAGGGTTACCGGGTATAATAAGTAATACGGACAAAATTGCTCGGTTTCAACACACTTCGTTCGTCATAAAATCACTTAAAAAATTAAGTGATTAAAAGGGTAAACCCTAAAAGGTTCATTGGACATATGTGTCATTTTCCCAATAAAACATTGATACAAAAGGCATAATTTTGTTGCAAACAATACCTTAGACCATATAAATCATCAAACAATTCGACATAAACAATTCGACATGTACCGGAATTCAAACATCAAAAACAATACCTTATATAAATCATTAAAACTAGTTTTGTAACCCCAAAACCCCAATATAGCAAACAAATCAACCTATAGCATAATTCAAATATGAAATACGAACACTATTCATTATTACACCTTAGATGATAGATTTCGAAATTTCACATCAGCTTTGCTTCCCAAAGAGCAATATCTTCCCGGTCACAAAACTCAGGAATGCATCGAGGGACGCATACTGTACCTGCTCCAGAGTCAACTGCTTGTCATCCCATGGACTCATGGTGGCAGATTCCAGCTTCATCGTCTCCTTATCCTTCTCAAGGACCATTGCTGCCAGCTCAGTCAAACCTTTGTTGACAACGGTTTTTACACCTGTCTCCTCCAGAGCCAAAGTCTTTAGTTCTGATTTCCTCCTAACCACAAGTTCATAGTCCCTAAAAAGCTTCTCCGCATCATATTCGATCCCAACACCGACAAAGGTGTACTGCGGATTCTTGAGGAAGTTTTTTAGCGACATAGGGATTTCAGTGGCGTGTATGATCTGAAAAATCAAGCAGCTGCTTTCTACACACAGTTGGAGCGTGGCAGCACGGTGTTCGACTTTCTTAGAATCGTTATGAAGCCACTCAATATCTAGGCCTACTACAAGGGAGTCAAGACGGTCGTGGTAGGTGCCTTCTATGTCGGAGATCCACTTGTCGACTGAGGATGGTTTTATTGTGACTACAGTTGACAACGTGTACTCCAAGTACTTGATTTCATACTGCTTGTCGCTACCGTCGGGGGACTCAGGATTCACGATGCTAATCATCATCTCCGTAGCCATCGCTCTTTGTGGAATCCCAGTTAGAACGATACAAGTGGTTGTGCCGTTGTGTGTGTGTGTGAGAGAGAGAGAGAGAGAGAGAGAGAGAGAGAGGTAACATAAGTGGATTGATGATTTCATATCGCCTGTATGAGGTAGGTGGAATACGACGTTTCACCATCGCCGGCGACTGAAATAGAAGTTGGTCGTCGAAATTCATTAAATAAATAAACAAAGACATGCGATCAATCAAAAAGCTTCATGGCCGGCAGCGCAAATATGTGTTGCTTTCATATTACTTTTTTATTTTATAATTTTATTTTTCTTTTGAAATAGTTTTTTTTTAACCTGGAGAGCTTCCAACTCAGCCACCACAAAATACCACAATCATAGATTACTCTCCATTACCTGAAAAAGAAATAGAAGAAAAAGAAAAGAAAAAGAGAGAGAGAAAAGAAAAAGTCAGGGAGAGAAGTAGAAGATCCAAAGTCTCCTATTGGTCGTTGTTCATCATCGTAGCCACCGTAACCAGCCACAGCCATCAATGGACACCCGAGGTGTTTGTGTTTGTTGCTGGTGCCAACTAGGACAACTAAGCACTCCGTTGAGAGCACCCCGGAGGATCTAACTAAAGGGACCATGTCGAGCAAGAAGTTAAAACACATAGCCAAACAATAGCATATATAATTTGAGTTTTTTCGAAATACAAAATTCTATTGTTATGTTAAACTTTTTAAAAACATTTGTTAATTAACAAATTCTTGAGAAAGAGTGTTTTTATTATTCTATTTAATTAGGTTGTATGTGAAAGGTCTCGTAATATTACATCTTATGTCTTCATTTTATGCTAGATGTATTAGTTTGGTTTCGTAGTTTGTATGCTTAGGCTTCCAAACTTTGGTCACTTAGTTATGACATATTGTATTTGTTTAAATGTCGTGACCTTGTTGTTCATGTCTCAACCAAATCTTTAGTTCTGTCATATATATATATATATATATATATATATATATATATATATATATTATATATATATATATATATATATATATATATATATATATATATATGAGCTAGGTTCAAATGTTTCTAGCAAGTATTGTGTGCATGTACGCACCAATGGGAATTGAGGAAATAATAAATCATTAAATAAATCATTTAAGGGTATAATATATGCATCTTTTTATATGGAAATTTTGACTAGTTCTCCTTAAAACTCGTCATTCTACATCTTAAAAACCCTACTCCACCATTGCCGATCACGATTCTCCCCCTTTTCACATTTTTCCCTGATTTCCACCACCGTCCTATTTGCATCGGACGATCTCCACCCAACAGCAGCCACAAGCATCGACGACCTCATTCCTCCACCATCGGTTGTTGCCCTCCCTATCAAACGACAACAAGATCCTTGCGGCCCTCCCTATCCAAAGAAACACGGAAACATTCACAGAGAGGGAAAAGGACGAACAAGGATGTCGAAATCGTCATAGATAGGAGGGCCATTAGCGATGTCATCGGATAATCGGTTGAGTATTTCTACCTCAACGGTCCGATTCTTGCGATAAAATTGATTTGGTAAGTTTCTTGACATCTATGATCGACAAAATCAAATTGATTTTATCAAGTCGTCCAGACTTTATCTCGATTTTGATTCAAGATCGAGATTGTGTTCATCATCTTATTAAATTCGATTTCTTCAATGTTCTATTTCTGTTCGATTGAAGAAATATTCTTATACAACTTGCACTTCACAGTCATAAGTTGGAGTTTATTTCGAAAAAGTCAAAACTGGTGTTCATATTTCTAAATCGATATTGCAAATGTGTGTTTGTTTCTTGAATTCATGATTGGGAATGAATGCAGATGAGTGTTGATGATTCAATCACAACTCTTGAATTATGTATTCAATCACAACTCTTGAATTCTGTATTCAATCACAGCTCTTGAATTCTGTAATGTATTTGTCACACCCCCAAACCAGAACGGCGGAATCGTTCGAGGGCGGATGACTTCATGTACAATATCATAACAATGTAAAGTAGCAAACAAGCAACAACATCATTCATTGCATTAATAGTATAGTTTAATACATGTGTGTTCTTTCATAGCAATATGACACCAAAATAAGTAATCAAAATAAATGACCTCTTGAACGTGCTCCGTCTTCTCAAAACCTGGTCGACTGTACCTGTCTACCGATGACCTGAGAATACAAGTTGTTTCGAAAGCGTAGGTCAGCATTTAAGCTGGTGAGTTCATAAGTATATTGTTTAAGAGAGTATCTTCCTTGATAATTGAATAAGTTTGAATGATCTACTAGAAAATCCTATATTTTCTTTTAAGTGAGAAGCAGTCTTAATAATCAAGACTGTAACTTGTAAGCAAATGTGTCATGCATAGAATGAAGAATGTAGAGTTTTATGTTTAAGTAAAAGTGGTTAAAAGGGTGTGTATCCCGAATTATCAACATGCTAATAATACTCCATTGTATAGTTATTACCCCCTGAGCATGATTGAGTTAAATATATATTACTACGTACAAGAGTTGTTGTTTCCGCGGTTTGTGAGTTTCTCATAACCATACTAGACGTAGTACTAATGTCGACATTTGTCACCCCAGACCTTCCGGTCTAACTGTAGCTAACAGTTTAGGTGCGGGGTCGTCAACCCCGTATAGATCTATACACAAATTCGCGCTCTCCCTCCAGGAGACTCTGGTCAAATATGGGGACTTTCGATTGGTACAAACAAAGCCATATGTCTCACATGATTGCTAACAACAAGTTCACGAGTAATATAATGAAATACCTTTTATATGAAAAGATTATCCTTGATATGAAGAATGCATACTTGTAAATAAATCACATTTTTATTTATAAGATCATGTTGTAACCCAAAGAGGTAAATAAGTGCTTTTCCATGATAACTACTTCATATGATAATCAAAACTACAGTATGAAAAGTACACCAAAAGATTTACGCATACACATTTCTATTTATAGTATTCTCTGTTATAGTATTCTCAGTTATAGTATTCTCCGTTATAGTATTCTCCGTTATAGTATTTTCCGTTATAGTATTCTTCGTTATAGTATTCTCTGTTATAGTATTCTCTGTTATACTATTCTCTGTTATAGTATTCTCTGTTATAGTATTCTCCGTTATAGCATTCTCCGTTATAGCATTCTCTGTTATAGTATTCTCTGTTATAGCATCTAACAGTTTAGGTGCGGGGTCTTCAACCCCGCATAGATCTATACACAAATTCGCGCTCTCCCTCCAGGAGACTCTGGTCAAATATGGGGACTTTCGATTGGTACAAACAAAGCCATATGTCTCACATGATTGCTAACAACAAGTTCACGAGTAATATAATGAAATACCTTTTATATGAAAAGATTATCCTTGATATGAAGAATGCATACTTGTAAATAAATCACATTTCTATTTATAAGATCATGTTGTAACCCAAAGAGGTAAATAAGTGCTTTTCCATGATAACTACTTCATATGATAATCAAAACTACAGTATGAAAAGTACACCAAAAGATTTACGCATACACATTTCTATTTATAGTATTCTCTGTTATAGTATTCTCAGTTATAGTATTCTCCGTTATAGTATTCTCCGTTATAGTATTTTCCGTTATAGTATTCTTCGTTATAGTATTCTCTGTTATAGTATTCTCTGTTATACTATTCTCTGTTATAGTATTCTCTGTTATAGTATTCTCCGTTATAGCATTCTCCGTTATAGCATTCTCTGTTATAGTATTCTCTGTTATAGCATCTAACAGTTTAGGTGCGGGGTCTTCAACCCCGTATAGATCTATACACAAATTCGCGCTCTCCCTCCAGGAGACTCTGGTCAAATATGGGGACTTTCGATTGGTACAAACAAAGCCATATGTCTCACATGATTGCTAACAACAAGTTCACGAGTAATATAATGAAATACCTTTTATATGAAAAGATTATCCTTGATATGAAGAATGCATACTTGTAAATAAATCACATTTCTATTTATAAGATCATGTTGTAACCCAAAGAGGTAAATAAGTGCTTTTCCATGATAACTACTTCATATGATAATCAAAACTACAGTATGAAAAGTACACCAAAAGATTTACGCATACACATTTCTATTTATAGTATTCTCTGTTATAGTATTCTCCGTTATAGTATTCTACGTTATAGTATTCTCCGTTATAGTATTGTTCGTTATAGTATTCTCTGTTATACTATTCTCTGTTATAGTATTCTCCGTTATAGTATTCTCTGTTATAGCATTCTCTGTTATAGTATTTGTATATGATAGTATTTCTCCTAAGCTATACCTATAATAGCTTACTACTAATTTATGTAATTTGAATGAATGAAAGTGTACCTTTGCTACCCAAAGGTATTGAACTGATTGAATAGTACTTTTATATCTACATATGTATACATAATATTTAACTAAGATTTAGACAACCTTCGGACAACTAATCGATACCCTAAGTACACATCCATACAAGGAAAAGGAATTAAAGCGGGTTAGCAGTCCTAAGTCCTTTAAACCTTATTTATATAACTATATATTTATAGACATTATATTTAACAATGTGTAAGTTTAAAAGGAAGTTTTGTAAAACATTTGAAGAGTTTAATAATAAATATTGATGACTTGATGTTAATGTATAAAACAATTTAAAAGTAGTTTGTTTGATAAGACAGTGTAAAGTAAAAGAAATCCTTTGTTCGAAACACAGTTATAGAGTATATGAAATCATTTGCTTGAAACACAGTTATAATTCACATATGATTGATTTAATAACAAAAAGTATAGCAAAAGATTTATGTTTTTCACACGAGGATAATCATGTGTTTGCTTGTATTCCCCCCCACCCCCTTTAAAAATGTATAAAAGCATTTACAAAGCATTTGAAAACTTAGTTGTAGGGGTATGAACTCACTTGATAGATCGAAGAAGGTGAGACGAAAACTGAGTAGAACCTCGACTTGAGAAAGTTGATTTT